ATAAAAGATAAAACTGTAAAATACAGCACTGATTTTATGCCCAGGCTAAATCACTGCTATAGAACATTTCTTTTAGGGTAATTAAGGGTTATTTTGCTTCTTAGAACATTAGCAAATGATTAAATAACTTTGATCTGCTCATGTTCAGAAAATTTGTTTCTTGATATTGTCCACATTACTCTTATGATGTTAAGGTATGGAATTGTATTCTCCTTAATTGTAAAAGATAATACACTTCTTTCAAATCTGAAACCAGATACTTTATAAAATGGTTAGCAAATTCAATGATCCAGAAATTTATATTTCAACTGTCAAGTAAAAACACAAGGGGACATATGGAAAATATTTTAAAAATATTTAACCTAATCACACTGTCTTTCATAGTTTGTGTCTACTAAAACTAATCAACTATAATTCAATATTTAAGCATTTTACACCACCAAAGTATCAAGAAACCCAATAAGGGAGCTACTGCCTCTTCTTGCAATACACAGACTACATACTTCACACAGGATAATCTCTCACTATCACAAAACATTAAGTTATGTACTATTCTTAATTAAGACCCCACTTCAGTTACAGTCAAGCAATTTGCCATTTAACTGTAATAATATAAACTGCAATGTAACTAATGGTATAGCAGGCATTTGCATTGGATAGTGAGTAAGTGAATAAAACTTTACGTAGCAGGAAATAAAAACAGGGGAGAGAGTTGGGCCTCATTCATCACCTTGCTGACTAAGGAGAGCTGGAATGCAGATCAGTCATTTCCTAGAACATTCCTTGATGTATACTTTCCTAAAAGCACATGCTGTAGGTAGTTCCACTAACCTAATATAAACACCAGGAAAGCATCAGTTCAGAAAAACCCACAATGAGAAACAAGTGATAAAATAGTATACAACTAAAACTAACTCATTTATCAAGAAAGACAGAGTAATCAGTGGGAATGCCCAGACTGTATGCCCTGTGATACAAATGAATAATGGGAACAGTAAACAGTATTACCTAAATTAAGAACACACTTTAGAAAACCAAAAATCTAATAAGTTATACCTATAAATATGGAAATGGTGAAATACTTGATTTTACAGTCACAGAGGTGATTTTTCTTCTTTAGGTGGGAGGAAAATGTGCATGGGGCCTCTTGCTAACAATAATAACAAGAACAGACATCAAATTTTGACATTTTCACATTAGAGAAATTAAGTCCTACCAAAATCTAATCTGTTAAAAAGGCAATGGTTTCCTTTTAGCAGAGGTGTTATTTAAGGTATGTGTTTTCATTCTACTATTGTGTTGGTGAAGCAAGCATGTTAGCCTAATCAGGTACTGTGTATAACACCTAGCTGTTTGTTCAATCAAATTACCACTTGCTATTAAATCACAATTTGAACTAATTTACAACTTAATATAGCAACTCTTGAATTAAGAATTTATTACAGATGTGGCAGAAGAGATAATTATAAAGTACTTTTTTTCTGAATAGATTTTGGGACACAGTTCCTAATATAGAATATGAGTAAATTATTTAGGTTCTCTGCTATTCTCAGTTCGCACAAATACTGAAATCCAATTTGGCTTATTGGTGTTTTGGCTCCAAATGAATCAACCTCTCCAATTCAAAATACTGCTTGCTTTAAATTCAACCGAGTTCTTATCTCTCCTTGGCACAGGCTATCTTACATTTGTCAGTTATATCAGTGAGTGTATACCATACAAAATATATATTCTGCTTTACTAACGAGGTTGTGAATACCCTGAGGGAAAGACCATGTCTGTTTGCTTTTTAGAGAAAGTGACGAGAAGCAGACAATCTTCTCAGGACCTAGCATAGCAACTTCATCACAGTAGGGACTCAAATAAATGCTTATTTATTTATTTTTTTTCAAAGAACAGGTAAGGAAACCAATTATCTTTAGGCATAAACTGAACACTAGAGGAATGTGAACAGATGATACCAATAAATTCACATTTTTGTTAACATATAGGTGTTGGCAAAAAGCAGCATCCATAATTATTTTCAAAGTTGAGAGGGATGAGCATAATTATTTTACAGATAGCATATTTTGTGCCTCTCCCATCACAAGTATTGCCAAGCGTTTCAAACGCAGTCAACAGTGAATACACAGCTATTCTAAAAAGCATCCTCAAGCACTTTCTTCATCTTGAGCATCCTTCTACAGACACTCCCTTATTCTGAGAATGTAATTAAGAAAATATGATTGTGCCCGACATATACTTCCCTCTCTCCTTTGAAACTTCTACTGGTGACAGCCTTCAAAAAACTAGAAAAGCAGCTCCATGGCAGCTGTTTCTTATCCCGTGGTCCATAATGTGAAAATACACAGATTCAGATAAAAGAGCATATATGTACAAGTTGACATCAACAGCAGATACTGAAATGTAATTATTGCCGATAAACAGGAAATATTGTTTTCTTCTCCCAGAGGAAATTCTTTCAGATGGCTAATCAGCTTCACAGCTGGAAGGGGAGTGGATTCAATGAGTACATGTGATTTGGCAAAGGGATAGGAGGAATTTCAGTAGATTGATGTTACTATTAATTTTGCCAAGGCTTATTGTATGAATTTGGGTAAGTCACTGCTATTTAGTAAATGGACTTGAAAGTGGCTAAACTATATAATATAAAAATTCACACAGAATGCCAGGAAGCCAATTAAAAGTTTTCCTATCAGCTATCCAATAGTCACCTGATTTCCTCTAGTTTAATCTGAAAACATTAGAGAATACAAAATGAGACAGCACATCACTTTTCACCATATGTAATTTTCCTATAATCTTTGAAATGAAACAAAAACTGCTATGTAAAATACTGTAAATGCAAAATAAGGTCTCATAAAAAACTTGAATGCCCCAGTTAATGAATTTTCAAGAGGCATAGATATCAAAGATAATAGAGGATTCAGTATGTAATAGTTTTTAGAAATATTCCTTTATTATACTAAAAAATATTTCCACTGTACACTAAGGACAGATTTAACTCAGGAAAAATCCTCTTGCTTGTTAGAAATAAACACTAAGTAAAGTTAAGTAGGCTTTAAAATAATCCAATTTCTTATGCTTATACCAAAAGAGGCTTGAACTAATTAAATGATATCAGCACGTGACAATAATTGACTGAATTTTTGCACAGGTGTAGGCCAACACCTCTCTCTATCGGTTTTAGTAGGCCTTTATTTAACTGCGTTACCTTACAGGAAGTGGTACGAACTAGCTCCATGGAATCTTAGAGTAGAAGGCCGGAGAGATCACTCACCCCATTAAGTCTAAGGTAGGCTCCTAAGGCATGGTCAGCTTTTAGAAATTGTGTGAAAATATGTGTGCCCAGGAGTATGCATTTTATGAGGAGATGGCCATATATCATCGGAATTTCAATGTGGCCTATGAACCTGAAAATGTTCACAAAAGAACTGTTAAAGAAGCCTAACTTCCAGTTTACAAATTAGCCTGGAGAGTTGAATTAATTGCTCTATAGACAATCCTACACTAGCTGTAAAATACCTAGAACGAGGTCTCTTGATAACCAATTATTATAGCTCAAGTGTAGTCCATATCATTTTTCTCAGAAGGTACTTAGGGAAAAAATACGTGAAACGTGCACAGTGTTTTTGTAACCAGATCTTATTTCAAGTAACAGTAGTTTCTAGGTCAGAATACTATGTATAAAAACGAAGTCTGAACATATGGAAGGTAATATAGGTGGTCTAAATGAATCAAATAAAAAAACTCAACAAACGCCGTGCTGCCTCCAAGCCAAGCTCACACCCATTCCTGCCTTACGAACTCGCAGCTCATGCTATGATCTTCAAGCTCACAGAGAAAGCCTTAGGACCCATAGAGGGGAAAACAGATCCTGAGGTATCACAGTATACAACAGAGAACTACCTCCATTAACATGGACCAGTGTGGGTGGACTCTCCCCATCTCACTGCCTCAGCACCTCTATTCTTGCCCCAAACACAAATAATGAAGAAATGTGTATTAATCTCACCAAACACCCTATACATCCTCTTGGCATTTCTAGAACAAGAAAGCTGTTTAATTTATGCCTATGCATCAATGTGTGGGTAAACATGTAAGTACATATTCTAGCTCTAGCATTTACATACAGTATGATGTTAGGCAAATGACTTCATCTGTCGGTGACTTGAGTTCCCTATTAGTATAATGGAGATAACAACAGTATTGACCTTTTAGAGTTGTGAGTATTAAATACGGTAATATATGTAAAATACCTAGAATAAGGCTTCATATTTTATGGAGATAAATAGCTATCATCAGCACCATCACAAAGAGGCACACATACAATGAATGACTTATGGGGAAGAAGGAGCTAAGAAGGAATCTTAAGATAAAATTGTTTCTTAACAAAATACTCAAGCTATCGTGAAAATTCAAGTTATTTCCTAAGAGAATGACAGAAAGTTTGTCTAGCCCAGGTTTTTCTTGGGGCCACATTCCCATGGACTTGTCACACCAGAGTTCTCCACCCAAAAGGGATGAGAAGGTTGGTTTGATCTGCGTCAGTGGAGCAGTTCCCTTTCCTCCTTGTAACTGTGGGCAGGGCAGCCTCAGGTGCTTGTGGTGTCAGTTATAGCAGCTTGTTGCATGGAAGCTGTGATTAGTCCAAGTGTTCTATCTCTGAAATGCTTTGATGACAATTTTAAAGATAATGGGACGCTTTTGGATCCTAGAGAGCCAGTTTCACTGATACAATATCACCATGAAATAGTGAAAACCTCAAATTATGTCTGGCTTGGATGACTCTATTGGGATCATGCTATCCCAGGACAGAGACCCAGCTAAGGCCACGGAACAATGAAAAACTATAACTTCCAACATAAGGACAGATGCCAACACTCCCAATGGCGTCAGTCACTGACACATACAAATTATTATCCATCCAGTGTCTATTATTAGATCACAATATCCAATATTTCAACTTAAAATATGTTGTCAAAAATGAAGAGTTTTACCTTTTTATATTCAGCAATGCCCAAGGTATTCCAGAGGGAGTATGAAATGCTGGTAGCAATTTTTCCCCAAGTTCCACTGCTTTCTTTCGAAATATCTGAAAAGTTAAACAGTTAAGTAAGCTACTGTTGTAAGAAAAATAAAACATGCTATACTATGAGCTCACATTTAGTACATATTTACTTTAAAATTTTCTATACATAAAAAAATAAAAGTTTCTCAAACTAATAGAATTACCTAGGAAAGAAAGAATGGTCCAGGGGCCACTGTGCTACGGGGTATTAATTACCAATCTCGGTTGCACATTAGAATCACATGGGGAGATTTAAATAATGCTGATGTTTGGGTCACACTGTTGAGATTCTAATTTCTATGGTTTGGCGCTTTAAGATCAGAACATTTTAAAGCATCACAGGTGATGTCGGGCGATTCCAATGTGCAAGCCAGGGGGAGAACCACTTGGATTGAAAAATCAGGAGATCTGGTCCTATTCTCTCCTCACTTATTTGCTAGGCCACAGAGAAAGAAGTTTTAAAAAGACATTACAAGAAATCGCTATGTCTTCTTAGCCCTTTATAGTTTTAAACGTTAAATGTAGGTGATATGAAAGATACAACATTAAATTAGGTACCAATTTTGCCCAGAAGTAGCTGCATGGTGGAGAAGGCAGTTGGATGAGGGTTGTATGCAGCAGCATGCACTGGGGGCTAATAATGCTAGAGATTGGAGTAAGGAGAGGGTACTGAAGGGGCCATCCCTGAAGGCATCTATCTAAACACAGGTGGAGACAAGTGGGGGCCTGCAGAAGAAGAAATGGATCAGGTCAGCTTGTCTGACCAAAACAGGAATAAGGTCAGGCATACATAGCATGGGCCCAGAGAGTGGGGGGTCATACAGGTAAGGCTAAGAATTTTATTCTGTTAAAATGAAAAAATATTGAAAGTTTCTGAGCTGCCAATTCACTTGAGGAGAACCGTGCTTTAGGGAGATTAATTATTACATGACACCCATTCATAGTGTTTCATCCAAAGGAAAGCATGGAGTTCAATTACTCATTGAAGGAAAGCCTGTGGCAGCAAGCAGGTGTCTTGTCGCTGGCCATACTGTATGCCTGAGCATGGTGGGCTGGGGACTGAGCTTGCTCCTTCTGTCTCTTCCTCAAACAAGGGAGATGTAAGAAAAGGCTGGGGGAGCCCTGAAAAGCACGGAGAATGTAAGCGAAGTCCTCTTTCAGCCAGCGGGAGCATTTATCAAAGTGGTTGTCAAAGCAGTCATGTGTGGCTTCTCTAGAGAAAACGGTTGCTGTCCACAACTCCTGAGCTAAGACCTGAGTCTCCCAGGGAAATCTGGGGACTTGGGGTCCCACCCTGAAGATGAGCCAGTAATACCAATGCTGACGCTATTTCTGAAACCCTGCTCCTTGGGAATCTTACTCTCATTTAGTAATGGAAGTTAAGAAAGTAGTGAGTTATAATGCAAAAATTTGATTGACCATCAATTTACACAAACTAACATTCCTGGAGTCCAAATAAGGACACAGACATTTGTAGTAGACAGAATGCTAAAAACTAGAAGTACCATGTTTCCCCCCATAAATTATTATTATAACTCTCTTTAAAGTGGACAATTTCCTGTTTCAACAACTAACAGTGTATGGAAGAAGAGGAGGCAATAAAAAAGATCAAAAGGGATATTCTTTACATTCTTCCTTCCCTTTCTCTGCCTTACCCTTGAGAATTCCAAGTTCTCTTCTGCTGTAAGGTATGAGGTGTGATAAAAAAATTTTGGCAAATTTTAAATAAAAAAAAACATTTAGTACAGTAAAAGACTCAAAATACACTTCCTCTTGCCTTGAACACACTTATCCCATCGTTCTTGACACTTTCTGAAGTAGTTCTGGAAGTCCTCTTTCGTGAGTGTCTTCAGTTGTGCTGTCGTGGCTGCCTCAAAGTCCTGAATCGATTCATAACCTTTACCTTTCATGGTCATTTTGACTTTGGAGAACAGCCAGAAGTCACATGGTGCCAGAACCGGTGAATACGATGAGGCCACACTGTAATGTTTTTATTTGACAGAAATTGCCGTACCAGAAGTGACATGTGACACAGAGCCTTTCCATTGTGATCACAAAATACAGTGAATGCTGCTGCCGAGTGCCATCCAACAGAAAGGCAGGGATCTTCAATACAGGAAGCAGTGCTTTGAACCTTAGTAACAGTGTATGACAAGTTTCAGCTTGTCCAGTGCAGTCAGTCTCATGTGAGCTATGGTTGAGAAGTGTGTTTTATAATGTGCTGTAAATCATCCTCCATTATAACTACACTCCATGTCACACATTGCTTCTAGTGTATGGCAACTTCTGTCAAATAAAACATTACAGTGTGTACTCATCCACCTTATTCACTGAACCTGGAACCGTGTGACTTCTGGCTCTTGCCCAATGATTCAGGACACTGAGGGAGCCACCACAGCACAACTAAAGACACTCATGAAAGAGGACTTCCAGAACTGTTTCAGAAACTGGCAGGAATGATGGGATAAATGTGTTTGAAGTGAGGGGAAGTGTTTTTGAGGGGGATTAATGGCAGTGTGTCTGTTACTATAATAATTTTTTTAAATTTAAACATTCACCGTATTGTTTGATCATACCTTATATTATCCAATTACTGCCATCTCTTGACTTTCTAGTTTCCACCTTTTTTTAAAAAATATTTTATTGGGGAATTGGGGGAGGGGAACAGTGTTGGGGAATCAAGGAAGGGGAACAGACAAGTTGCTGTCCTTTTGTTCTTCAGTCTATTTGTGGAGGATGTCGCTTCACTGGGCCATGTTGGTATTGTCATTGTGCTCTTCCCAGGAGAGGCAGTCGCTGGCAGGCCATTGGATGGCCACTCATGGCAGCTCACTGCAGCTCATGAAAGCGCACGTCAGCCAGCCCCACTGCAGCCTACGCCATCGCCAGTGACTCACGGCAGCCCAGCTCCAGGTCCAGCAATTGTTCACCATCTTAGCTCTAGAGGGCACAGCTTCACTGGCCCTAATGTGGGATCTGAATTGGGGCCCTACTGCTCAGAGGTGGCGTCCCAAGCCAGCTCTTAACCAACGCGCCACTCGGCCGGCCCTCCACCTAACTTTTTAAATTGTTAATTAATTAACTATTTTTCAAAAAATTTACATAAGATAAGTTTCAGGCTTTGAAAACTCAATGCTTGTATTTGAATTCAAATCAATCTATTATCTTGTATTCTCTCAAAGACCACTGTGGTCTCAAGCATTCATTGAAGTTTAGTCCACTTTAGTATCATTCTAAAAATGTTTTCCCCCTGCTTTATTGAGATGTAACTGACATACAACTTTGTGTACAAGATGGTACTTTGATACACACAAAAAGTGTGAAATTATTACCACAATAAGGTAACATCCCCATTTTTTTGTTTTTGTTTTTGTGGTGCCACCTTAGTATATTTATTTATGCAGTTCTCTGATCTGAAACACACTTCTCTGCATCCTGTTGGCCAAATTCACCCATTTTTTAAGGCCCAGGCCAAGTCTCAAATCCAGGGCAAGATTCTTTCCTTCTGTGAACGTGTACTTTCACAACTGGCATCACACAATGCAGTATTTGATTACAGAAAGCAAGATACAAATCTCTAAATGTTTCCTTATGTTACTCGTTTATCCCCAAGTAATTTTCTTTTCTTTCTAAAAGTAGACAAAAAGATGTCCATTTCTCCATCATTGCCTATTATATATATATCGACCCCAGCTTAGGTAACTTTATATTTAAATTTATTGATATCCTTACAGTATTCCTACGAGTAGCAGGTGGGAAGATATTTATACTCTCAGTGAAGAGGAAACAGTGGCACTTTGCATCTTGAGGTTTTTGCCTTTGCTGGTTCCTCTGGCTGCAATGCTTTTTCTCTAGCTCTTTGCACTCCTGGTTCATTCTTAAGCTTCAGGTATCCCCTTTAAATGTCCCTTTTTAAGAGAGGTCTTTCTTAACAACCCCACTTATAGTTGGTCATTCTCACTTATTGTTTATCATATCATCTTTTTCATTTTCATCCCACTACTTATCACATCCTAATTATCTTATTTGATTACTTCTTTATTGTTTGACAACCCTAGCAGATGTAAGCTTCCTGATGGCATGGACTTTGTTTGGTTTGCTGGTGTGTGTGTGTGTGTGTGTGTGTGTGTGTGTGTGTGTGTGTACGTACCTAGTATCTAGCAAAGTACCTAGTACTCAATAAATGTTCATTTAATAAATGGGTGAATCAATCAAAGTGTAATAGACACACCTGGGTCACTGTAATGAGGAGCCACTGACATTCTAGTGTTTGCAAAGTGCTCTATCCTATTCTACTGGTTTCTACTGTTTGCACATAATGATGTCACGTGTTCAGGAGTCTCAATTTTGGGCACAATTACACAACAGTTTTGGATGAAAACATTAACCTCTTGATGCTTTAAATGAAATTATATGTGAGCCTGAATCAATTTCAATACTTAATGTTTGATTCGTTACCCTCTCCTGAGATATGAAGAGAGGTTACTTGGAGGAGGAATCTCGATTCTCAAAGAGAACACCTTTCTACCTAACATGGTGAGTACGTAATAAAATTCCAAACTAGCTTATAAATTAATATTGTTAAAAGAATGAAGGAGAAATGTCACAAATCAATTCAAAGGGCAGTTAAGTTTTAACTAGCACATCTTGGATAATGTGCTGGAAAGCAAATGATCACAGAAAGCACACTAAAGGGTACTTCAGTGCTCCTGCCAATGGGCAGGCACGACGGCGGGAGCGCTGGACCTGGGCCAGCACATGGATGCTATGATGGGCTTCAGTGGGAGGCCTGGACCAGTCACTTAACTTCTCTGGTTCTCAGTTTCCCCAGCGAAGCAGGAGAGCAGGGCTGATAGTTTCTACTTTTGATTTGTCGCTGGAAAAAGTAGTACTCAGAACTCACAGAACCAGTACTAAAATGAGACTGGCACAGAAGCAAAATTATTATTATGTTTTATAGAGATGTGTTAATCTGCCACTTGATTCTTAGTCAATCTTGGTTTCTAGGGTTTGTTGGTACTCAC